AATAACTTGAAATTTTAGTGGAATTCCGAAGAATTTCATGAAATCTTATATTGTAATTCCGAAGAAAAAAAAATTCCAAGAATTCTATTGAATTTTATGGTGTGAAATGTGACATGTGCAATTTTTGCGGAGTTTCCATAGAATTCACATTAAATTTTAGTTCCTCTCGAATAACATGAAATTTCGAGAAATAACATGAAATTTCAGTGGAATTTCAATCGAATTATATGAAATCCTGAATGAGCTGCATGGCGGAATTTTAAACAATTACATGGAATTACACCGAAATTCCCAACATGAAATTTCAGTGCTCGTTAAATTACATAAAGAATTTTAAAAAAGTTTCAAAAAATTACATGAATTTCAGTGAAATTGAAATCCCGAAAAATTCTCATCAAATTACTCAATTTTAGTAAAATTAGAGAAAATTTCACAAGTGGAATTCCGAGGAATTTCCGGCTAAAAACTTGGAATATCGGTGAAATTTGGAAAAAGTGATGATATGAAATTTCAATATGTATATTTCGGAGGAGTTTCGGTGAATTTTCAAGAAATTAATATTCCCAGAAATTCCTGACTATTGAAAGAGAATTTTAGTGAAATTCCGAAAAATTCTTATGGAAATAAATGAAATTTTGAAAAAAAAAGTTTCATTGGAATTTCGAGAAATTTTCGACTAATAACGTGATATTTCAGAAAATTCTCATAAAATTTTAGTGAAATTCCGAGGAATTTCTGAGAAATTACAGGAAATTTCAGTGGAATTCCGAAAAATTTTATGAAAATTTTGTGGAATCCCAGGATATTTCAGTGGTGAAGTTTTGGGGAATTTCAGTAAAGTTAAAAAAAATTATGAAATTTGGAATTTCTATAGAATTTTGGAGAATTTCAATGGTATTTCGAAAAAAAAAATTATGAAATATTCGCAGAATTTCCATCAAATTATACTATATAATTTCACTTTGTGTCGGCTTGTTGTGGAATTCCATTGAAATTACATTGAATCCCCTTGGAATTAAACAGAGTTTTTGTGGAATTTCCATAGAACCACGAAAAATTTCGGCGGAATTTCGAAGAATTGAATTAAATTTTAGTGAAATTCTGAGTAATTTCTGTCGAATTACATGAAATTTTAGTCGAATTCCGAGAAATTTCATGAAATCTTTTACTGTAATTCCGAGGAATTTTTGTACAAGAATTCCATTGAATTTTATGGTGGAATTCCATGGAATCTTATTGTGAAATTCGGAAAAGTAGACATTATGAAATCTTATGGTAAAATTTCTAGGACTTTCTGTTTTTCTATTCAAATTTGTCATTTGAATGGAATTTCGAGGAATTCCATAAAATCTTCTAGTGATATTCTAAGGAATTTCTGTGGAAATAACAAAAATGTTCGCAGAATTTCCATGGAATAACTTGAAATTTCAGTGGAATGCCGAAGAATTTCATGAAAACTCATAACTATTGTAATTCCGAGAAATTTTTGTCCAAGAATTCCATTGAATTTTATGGTGGAATTCCATATAATCATATGATGAAATTCGGAAAAGTATTATGAAATCCTATAGTAAAATGTCTAGGAATTTCTGTTTTTCCATTTAAATTTGTCATTTGAATTTAGAATCTCTAAAAATTTCTCAAAAACCCCTAAAATGCTCCAGAATCACCTAAAATTTTGAAAATCTAAAATCTTCCGAACTCCTGTAAAACCGTGTAAGGATTTCCAAAATTCCCAAAATCCTACAAAATCAATTAAAAAATATGTGTTCATTATTTTATAAAATTAACTAAAACTTGGAGCAGTTGATTGGTCAAAATCTGTGTACAAGTCCAGAAAAACTTGTAAGATATATTTAAAATCCCTGTAAATCTTTAAAAATTTCACAAAACCTCAAAAAATCTCCTAAAAATTAAAATTGGTCAAACAAAATCCCAGAAAAACTCGTAAGATCTACTTAAAATCCCTGGAAATCTTTAAAATTTTTAAAAACCTAACAAAATTTTATTAGAACAAAAAAAAAATCCGGCAAAATCCTATAAAATTCCTTTAACATTTCGAAAAATCCTTTGGGATTCCCAAAAATCCGTTAAAATCTTTAACAATCCTTTAGGATTCCTAAAAAGCCTTGTAACTTCCCTATAATGAATGCTCCAAAATCACCTAAAATTTTTTAAAATCCTGTAAAATCATATGAAGATTTTCAAAATCCTCAAAATCCTACAAAATCAATGATCTATACATTACATATTTTAAGTAGTTAACCAACCCTCGTCGAATACATTTCGTACACGAAATTTGACTGACAGCAATGTGAACTGAATGGGGAGCAATATATACGTGTTTTTCTAGGCTTATTAGTTCCTTCTGTGTCTTCCTCTACTAGTCATTTGAGGGCTATCAATCATAGGAGTTCAAAAAATAGGACTTTGCAACATACATTGAGACCCGCCATTACATTGCTCAGTAGCCTCGTAATGACTTGAAATATTCAGTTTTTCCTACAAATTCATAACCCTGGAAGCATGCAATATAATCAGTGGCTTGGGATAACAAGTTTCCACGATTATACATAAAGGTGCTAGGCTGAGCTGTCATATAACTTTTAGAGGTTCCAGGTCGATTTGAAAAAGTCGAAATGTTTGAATCATAAACTCTATTGCTTTAACTAGGAGTTTGAGGTGTATTATTTGAATTTTTTTCACTTATTTGGTTAATCGACCCAGTACTGGAAGGAAGAGTAGATTCCTGGATGTTTGTAATGTTATCGTCAGTAGTTGAAGGGTGTGATAACATTAGTTGTGACATAGCCGACACATATGGCTCTGTAATAAGTGATTCTATTGGTAAAAAATCTTGCTGTTTTGTCATATTAGTCATATCGTCCTTATTCATATCTTTTACTGGATTCTTGATTCTTCCTTTAATAGGAGAAGACCTAGCATCATCATAATTATACACTAATCCTGGATTATGTAGTGGTGATACATTTTGTGTTAGTGGCATTTGTATAGGTAATAGAGCCTTTATTTTAAATAAATATTTGTACTTAAGAGGGCCTTCGGCCTTCCTTCGTGCCTGGGCCCTTAAGCATCACTTAAGAGTGAGATTGAGTTGGAAATGAAGGCTAGTTTACCTTTATTTGAATAATATTTTTACTGTCACAGCCGTATTGCCTGGATAATCTGTAACCTTGATTTTGGAAATTAGGCGATGGAGCTATACTATGCTCTGATTTATTTGATTCAGGTACTGATTCTTGAGATAACAAGTTTTCATGATCATACATAAAGATGCTAGGCTGAGGTAAGTCTTATAACTTTTAGGAGATTTAGGTCGATTTGAAAAAGTCTGATGTTTGGAAAACGGCGGGAGCATCTACCAATCCGAATGGCATACGCAAATATCCGTACTGCCACGCCGTTTTCTGTTGTGACTTTTCCGATATGAAAATTTTAGTGGAAGGGTGATATAACATTAGTTGAGACATAGCCGACAAATTTGGCTGCGAATTCGTTGTGCTACTGGGTAATTTATTTGTGGTAGGTGATTCCTTTACTGTCACTGGTTTCACTAATTGGAGGAGACCTAGCATCGTCATTATTATACATCAATCCTGAATTATGTAGTTGTGTTGGTAGCATTTGTGTAGGTAATAGATAACCTTCATAGTAAAACGATAAAATTTCAATTTTTTTTTTTGTTGAGATTTTGTATCCTAATGGTCAATTAACATCCCCAAAACTCCATACACTAAATTATTCTCAGATTTGAAGCCGAAATCTATGAAAAAAGGCACTCAGAAAAACTGAAAAATTGATAAATAACCCCAAATTGCTTAACACGATTTTATCTCAGGAACTATAAGTGCAAATGAGCTGAAATTTTCAGGGATTGTAGTCCCTTTATCTAAATCATAAGGTAGCTACCTTCAATAGAGCCTGTGTTGCTGAAGGCATATTGTGAGTTGAAACTTAATCCATCATCATCGTTGATACATTTAAGTTTGCCAAATGTTGCTGAGCTTAGGACGATCTTAACTATCCTTGCTGAGATAACAAATCTTGACAATTCAAAATCTACTGATCTATATAATATTATTTGCGTCATGCATTCTAGTGGATTCGAGGTAATACAGAAAATTTTGCAGAAACATCAAAGAGAGAATGAGAACTACTATTATACAGACAGGACCAGGCTACTAGACACATTAGGCTTCAATGGGACCAGTTGACTGATTCCTATTTCGCTGCCGGATGGTCACTGTGATCCTTGCAAGTTAGGTAATAAAATTCATGCAATTGAACTCTATAGACTCCTGTCAGGATTTAACCCAACTGACTTATTGAATTGGCTCTTGCAAGGTAAGTACAGTGGATATTTTGAGAAAACCTCATCAGCTCATTATAGTTATTATTATTATTCAGTCAGTGTTCTCTGTTGACAATCATCATTATTTGATTATTATTGTTATGAAATATGTTTAAAAAAAATACCTTGTCAGATCCGAAGGTGTAAAAAAGTCATCAAGCCAGATAGAAGAAGATTGTCAATGCGCGATTTCGAAACGGCCGATGCCGTATATGGATGCACCAGGTTGGCGTGCATGGCGATGTCTTCAACAAGATAGACGGATCGGCCCGGGGACGGTCATGGGAAAATATTTTCCTACTTGGTCGGTTATTATATTTAATTGAATTGGATATTATTTATGGTTATGGCAATGCTGGATCATTTATTCTGGTTTGAAGAAAAGAAAAATCGCCTACCTACTACATACAAGCAATGGTAAATCTACAAAAAACACAATTGCTTTGGTAAATAATGATTTTTGATGGGGCCCAAGTGTAGGCAGCCTTGTCTCGTATGTCTTACTTTGCTGCCTCACAAATTTATTTATTGAAGAGCTTCTTATCCTTACACGTCTTATTTTATTGTCAAGATTTTTGATTTTGAATATGACAAATACAGCTTGAGGAGAGCAATAACTTTTACTTACCGCCACTTGTAGTTAACGATTCATAAGAGTTCCTAGTTAATAATGGCAGTTCACTTGGTGCACGATCTGAAACCAAAAACTTACTTTAAGAATACAAATAAACAGTATTGAATATATGTAATAATTTACATGCTACCATACCATTTGAATATAGAGGGTGTCCCAGAATATGTGGGCAATCTCTCGGATTCAGATAGAACACAAAAAAAATAACATGACAACTTCCTATAAAAAAAAAAAATTCCTACGGCCCCTCCTACGAAGTTACGCGCTCCTGAAGGATGCCTCTGAAAAGCGGTTTTTTGTTGATAACTTTCAAAATATTTCGTGTACTAGATAAGACCCCTTAAAATGGACCTTTTCAAACACACTTGGCCAATCTAGTTTGCCAGGGACGAACTGGGGTTTTAGGGGCACGTAACTTCGTAGGAGGGGTCGTAGGAATTTTTTTTTTATAGGAAGCTGTCATGTTTTTTTTTTTGTGATCTATATGAATCCAAGAGATTGCTCATATATTCTGGGACACCCTGTATATTGGGGATTACTGAGCTAGGCCAAATAAACCAAGTGAGCTCTTTCAAAAATGATTACCTCCCTCTCATAGAAGATCATTGTCGAATTTGTTCGTAATATTATTGATCAATTTGCAATATTCTCAATATTATTCTATTGAAACAAACCAATAGGTTACTCTTGTGTAGGTAGAACGGGTATTATATTGTAGATTTTTTTTTGATGACGTCAAAAGATTTCTTGTCTTATAATCAGATACCAGAAACACCTGGTCATGTGTCGGCGACAATGACCAGTTGAAAGAGAAGAGAACATTAGCCGATCTAAAAGCGTGAATAAATTAACGACAATTCGTTAGACGAAAAATATAATATTGATATTTTATTGTCTTTAGTTTGTAATAAAACCACGAAATTTATCTGAAATAGCTTAGTTGGTGGCGTTTTCCTTGAATTCGGCACCCCTGGGCCGAACTTATGATTATGGATATGTTAATTTTGTTTTTACTGATTATGGGACATTGATTTTTATTTGGGTGTTTTTTAGCAAATTATTTTCTTGTTCTCATCGGATTTATATTATCGTTGACTTAAAAAAGTAACCGAAAAATTAAAAAAATAGTTTGGGTACCTACTTTTGCATCAAGGTTTCATCATCATCATCATGTTCATCTTCAACCGTGTTTGAGGAAATTTTGGTCTAAAAATCACGGGATCTCAACGATAAGATTAAAAACGATTGGATAAAAATATGACAAGTGGGCCTAATTTTATCATGTAGATAATAATATGTATTTTTTTAGTCAAAAAGTCACAGGAGGTACCTAATTGAATGCAACATAACATTTAATATAAATATCAAAGTAACAATAATTTTAAATAAATTATTAATTAATTATGCATTAACAATAAATCCTAACTTAAATAACTATATTCGAATTTTCCAAGTTCATTGGGTGATCAATGATCAAATTTATGATTAGTTATTGAAAAATGAGATAATAAATGTTGCGTTTACCTTTTATATTTCCGGTAGTAGGTATAATATAGGATATTATGAAAGTGCGGGCTTCGGTGCAGATCAAAGATACTGAATGAACACTGTTTTTAGACTTATCGTAAATTTTACCGTATTTATAGTAATGGACTTTTCTAGTTTTTTAACTGTTTTAAATGCTTCCGTAGTTTTTAGTTACTGTACTTTGTCTGTCAGAATACTGTAAATCAAATAGGGATAACTTGCAGCATTCATTGTTGCCTTGGGATTAAATGTGATAAATATATTCATTATGAAAAGTTTTGGGAACAAATCTCAACCTTTTGATCATTTTCAACAAGGGTAGGTATCCAATTCAGTGATCAAAGCAAAGTATTTCCTTGTTGTATAACGGCTTTCAATGATTATACAACTCACTGTACATTATTCCCATATGACACGAGAGGCTTAATAAGTGATAAGCCTTTTGGGATTATCGCGCTTGGTGGCAATATTGTCAATTTGTCATTAATGATTATAAAGATTGATAAAGTATTGAAGTTTAGTTCGTTGTATAACCTTTTGAATACCACTCGATGTTTCAGGATTACCTAATACTTTTACCTGACACTCAACGCGTTACCAGCAACACCACTCCTCCTTCGGAGTCGTGGTGTTGCTGCGTAACGCGTTTCGTGACAGGTAAAAGTATTATCCGGTAATCCTGAAACCTCTTGTGGTATTACATTCGATTATACAACTCACTGTACATTATTCCCATATGACACGAGAGGATTAATAAGTGATAATCCTTCCCATATGACACGAGAGGCTTAATAAGTGATAATCCTTTTGCACGGTAACTGGTGTTTTGACATTTTTTGACAAAAAATTTAAATTTTTGATTCATGAAATTATTAATTGAAAAAGAATTAAAGTTTAGTTCGTTGTATAACCTTTTGAATACCACTCGATGTTTCAGGCTTACCTAATACTTTTACCTGACACTCAACGCGTTACCAGCAACACCACTCCTCCTTCGGAGTCGTGGTGTTGCTGCGTAACGCGTTTCGTGACAGGTAAAAGTATTATCCGGTAATCCTGAAACCTCTTGTGGTATTACATTCGAAAACACACTTAGGCTTGAATATAAAGTGATAGATAATGTAATATGAGAGATAACAACGCAATATATAATCCTATTGGTTCACCAGCTATCTTTCGACAAAGTTTACCTTTCGACCAATAGAATTATGGATTGGTGAATTTATCTTATAGACTCTTACTAGTAAGTTTATCTTAAGTAAGGTTGATGCTGACAACCAAAAATTTCAAGACAACCAACTCATGCTGACTCAAATTGATTTTCTCCATGACTCCGAAGAAAAATCAGACATAATTTTACTAAAAAATTAATCCGTTTGTAAGTAGCTCTTAGATAAAAACTCATAAGTTGTAAGCTTGAGAAGTAAAAAATAATCCATTGTCGTAAGATAATGAATTATACAGTTAAGCTGACAATCTAATGATGATAATCAGACCACGACAAACGTTCTTCCTATAGCGCCACTCGGGTTCCGCTAACGTCGCTACTTCTCTTTCTTCTTCTTTCCTCAGATTTCACGATTATCATAACATGATTCACACTTCTATGCCGCCGAAAATGAATCGAAAAGAGATGGATCAATCGTAAGATGCTATAGGAGAAAGCAAGATAGATATAGCAACGGAATCAGGTGCTTGGTAACAGGGTCATCGGAAAGCCGAAGAAAGAAAGAGGTGCGCTTGGGCAGCCTTAAAGGTCATTGGCTCGTATTTGTCTTTTCTCTTCGTTGGCCGATGAGGTGGTAGATTAAGACACCAAATCTTCAACAGTTAATTCAATATTATTCGTCCATGGTTCTCTTCAATATTCGAACTCTATGGATGCCGTTATTCATGTATTGTATGTTTTTAAGCTTGTTAAAGCCCACAGTGATTCTTAAATCACAGTAGGCGTTCTTGAATTACTGGACGTAGTAAAAAAAAATTAAAGCATCACCAGTGAATAGGTCATCTGTCTAAATATGTGTTACGGTACCACTATAATCATTGAATCTTAAGATAATTTTTTTATTGGCTATAGAAGACGCGATGACCAAATATGAAGAGTCAAGCCTTTTATCTGATATCCAATCCATAAATGTTTGGCAAATGTACAAGAGATCCTTACGAGAAAAAAAAATATATGCGATATTAACAACCTGTACCGTTACGTAATTTTCAATTAAAACTTGGCAAGTTGAAAAAATTACACGCTCCGCACGCATCACGACCTAAAGTTCATCCCATAATCTATCGGTGATGGTGCCAAAAATTTAATTGCATTTTTGTTTTTCTGTCGAAAAAAACTTGTGCTTTTTTTCAGCAGTTGAAATATAGTTTTTAGATGTCAAAAAGCTTGTATGAAATCATTGATGGCATACAAGCCAATGTCAAGGGGTGGTTGGACAGATTGGTACTAACAGGTACTATCACTATATAAAACTTGACTTGGGAAGGTGTTTCTTGGACTAATCTGTCGCTTGGCGCCGTATAGTTTAGATATGTTTACGAGCCGCTAAATAAAATTTAATGAGAATCGACATTAGCTCGGCTGATAAGAAAAATCCTCGCGGTTTTACGATAACGGACCCTATCTGCCTGGCCCAGTGGGTATGGCTGTCATCATCTTTATTTTTAACACGGCGTTGTTTGTTTTGGCATCGACACGCCGACGCCGTTTAATAATAATTATTCCGTATGAATACTTTATGTGAAAATTATAACTATAGATTATTTTATTTAATCAGACAGAGAGCATGGAATCTATAGGATGGTGGAAATCTCGTTATGATAATAGGTTAGGTTAGATTTTAAAGGGTTTGCCTACACTCTGAGGTCAATTGGCCCATGATCCCTTCTTCAGGATGGTTCCCTCCAAAATCTTGAACCTGTTCCTCCATATTACTATGTCCAGGAACCCAGCTTAGTCCGACATTACTGTGCCTAATCCAGGACAGCGCATTCTGGCAACTCATCACTGTTTTTGATTCTAGCAGTCTCAGCGCTGCTTTGCTATCCATATAGATCTTCTCCAGGGGTAAACCACCTTGGAATTATAGAGTCCAATCATGTAGGATTCCAGTGGAATTCTGTGTTAATTTTTAGACTAATGAGTCATGAATAAACTGAGCTCTTCTCATTTTTTAACCTCTGCGGGACGAGCGAAGCGAGTTCCGCAGCAATTAACTCATTAATGAGTCATTCTGATATAAAAATGAGGATTTTTCGAACTAATGAGTAAAGATTCTGATCTGATAATTAGCGAGCTCATTCATTTTTAATTCAGAATTTTCACTTATTGATTCAAAGAGTTATTGAACTAGTAGTAAATTGCTGCCCTGTGAGATTCCGTGGAATTTTAGTGAGATTCCAGTGGGATTTCTCAGTTTGCTTGATAAGTCGATGTTTGTACCTATGTAGTGGCCGCTAAACTGAAAAACAAGACTTTTCAGTCCAGATTATTCCCTTGCTTAGCGTTCAAAATAATTCTAAAA